CGTTTCCGCAGATGCCGGAGCTAAACTGAAGGGTTCATATCCTAATAAAGAGTTAAAGGGACGATTGTAGCTGAATGATATGAGAGTTGTTTGAATTTAAGGATTCATGTCGACTTTCATTGGCACTTAAACACAAAAAGGCGAATGAACTTACGTCCATCAAAGTGTGATGCTTCGATGTCTCCGACGGGATGATCGATTCCAGCTGTTAAGCATTAGATATCTGTAAGAACGAAATGCTCGTTATCGTCTTGTTCAGCGATTCGAAACACGTTTCACGTCTGTATCTTGGATAACTACGAGTTTTCGATTCGAGGATAAACAGGAAGTGGCATGACCGAGAACGAAGACGAAAGGTGTCATTGACGGGTAAAATTTATTCAGAAATTGTGCATGCGCACTTAAAGGGATTGTGAAATGCCAGGTGGTTGGGAATGAACTGGCATAAGTAATTCGAACTCAGCCTAAACATTCGCAATGATGAGCCTAGTTTTTTCATTAAAGCCAATTCCTAATAGCAGGCCTTTCAATTTATTGTTATGAGAATACATCTCTGTTCTGAAGTGCATTATCACGGGCAATCAGTATGACAATTGGGTTGGTGTCTGTTTTCAACCGGACATCACCACAAGTAGCCCACGCTCACTACTAGAAAAGCGGAAGTGACTCTTACCGTGTTGCGCAACTTTGTATATTTAGAAAGGTTTGTATGGGATGTTATCGGTTTGCCTTAAAAGAGAGGAAGAAATGTCTTGTTTTGAAATAAAATGGACTTACCTTATTGCCTTGTTGTTTTCTTTGTTGATTCCTAGCGTCTGAGGCCATTTAGAAGCGTTTTCGGCGAGTTAGCGCTATGTTGGTGTTCAAGAAGTCAAGTGCCTAACCTTGGCAGGGACACACCACAGTAACGCTTCCCAATGCTCGTTTATGGAAATCGTGAGACACATCCGGCAGTTATAAGCAAACTTTGAATGAGTTACCGAATTTGTCAAATCGTTGCACAAGGCAAGGGGCATTTACAAGTAAAGGGACGATCCCAATCAAAAATATTTGGTGGCAATTTAGCAAAGAAAACAAGTCCTGCGTCACTGAGTATCTGCTATATTTATTCAAATAACGAGCAGGTGACCTTATGTCATTAGTATGGCGGTCTGAAATCTGATAAATGATCACTCTACGGCTCCTGTGCTTGTATCGCACCGGAAATTTTTGCCCAGTGGGAGGAAGACACTTTTTATTTCAGTGCAGATCTATATGGAAAATTTCCGTGCGAAGATCCCTTTTCGAGAAACCTCAGGCTCCGTCTAAATGCCTCATTGAACTTAGCAGGCCAGGGCGGGTTACATTCGAGAAACGTCGAAGTGATGAATAATTTTCATTCATTCACAACATTGAAGTGAATTCATTTTTATTTTGGGTAAATTTGCATTTTAGAGTCCGTATTCAAATGTATACTTTTCGATAAAAATATATGAAAACATTACGAGCGATTTTTGTATGGAGTAAGAAGAGGACGATGTTCGATTTGCATTTTACTTACGAAACTCACGCATTCAATGCTTGCATTTGCAGACTATGTCACAGCTACACGTAGGCAACCATATGATCCCCCAAAAATCCTCTGCCTACCCCTCCCCCCTCGCGATCAATAATGACTATTCCCTTAGAGGGAACCGTTTATATAAAAGGTAATAAAGATACTATAACGCCGCACGTACCACACATAAAGCTTTGTTCCGATACAAATCACGATACAATTTCACTGCCGCTTCAGCATTGGAACCTCCATGGACTACAATAAATCTATTCGTATATTTTGTTTTTCTTAGAAAGCTTTCTAGTTAACTCTTTTGAAATATCGGTAATCTCTCAGTAGAGGTGTTTCATATAATCCTTAGCGGGTCATGCCATAACCACCCATCCAACCAAACGGATAAAATCCTTGTATCGCCAAATTTTATAATTCGTAGAGACTGCCGTGAATAACTCGATTGAAAGGCCCTTTTCCAGTTAGCCATTGTGTGAGAAATGGCAGTCTAGGCCAAGAGCGCTCAGTGGCAAATATTGTGGGACTTCCTCTTTAATTATTACAAAACATACTGAACTACATTAGTCAATGATACTGATGCTTTTAAAATGATTCAATGGTTTCTAACTTTTCCGGGTATCGGCCATACAAACGTTCACGTTGTCTGCCATGTTGTGTTGTCGGTTTATTGGATATATACACTGTAGAAGTAAGCTAACAGCTATAATCTAAACTAAAAGGTTTTTAAGTAAATCTCTCAGGATCGCTAGATGTTTTTTAGGTGTGAAGTCGGCTATGTGCAAGTTCGCCTCATGTCTATCTTTTCAAAACACTGACTGATAAAAACAATTCACGCACGAAATAAGGGTAGACCTACTGAAATTAGTGTAACTTTCTGTGGCGTGGTTCATTAACGACATACTCTATCCCTTGTCTCTCCTCGGGATCTCCTGGCAGGCATTTGTGTATCAACTCTTGAAGTAAGATGTTTTTCACCCTAGCAACTCATGTTGTCCTTGCCTTTCAGGATCAGGTAGTTCCCCGATGCACATCTGGCACAGGAGAACACCAAAACTGAAGATGTCCACCTAGTAGAAGCAAGAGCATCCTTGAATCAATGGTATTAAACATCAGAATCTTAGTTTAATGCCACGGTTTCGTCTCTTGACAAAAGATAACACTATGAAGTTATTATGATTTTTGACTCTAAAAGAAATACCCTCGCAAATAGGGACCTTACGCAAACCCCGACGGCGACGGCAACGGGAACGTGAAAAAACAAAAGATGTAATTGGAAGAACAATAGCCCAGCACGTGCGTTTTAAAACTTTGTTCATTTCTTAGCTGCCC